AGCTCTTCAACCCATTTTTTGACCAGATTGCTTATTTTGTTTTTGGGGAGTCCTGTGAGTTCTTTGCAGAAACTTGTCATAAGTCCTCTGTCAGTTGCCTGGAGTGCAAAAATTTTCTTCCAATCAGTAGGGTGTCTCTTTGTTTTGGTTAATGTCTCTTTTGCAGTACAGAAACTTTTTAGTTTGATGTAATCCCAGTGTTTATCCTTTCCTTCATTTCCTTGCTTTGGGGAATGAATTTTAAAGATGTTACTGAGATATATGTCACGTAGAACTTTACCTATATTTTCTTCTATATATTTTATGGTTTCAGGTCTTATGTGCAGTTCTTTTATCCATTTTGAGTTGATGTTTGTACATGGTGAGAGGTAGTGGTCTAGTTTCATTCTTTTGCATGTGGTGGCCTAGTTTTCCCAGCACCATTTATTGAATAAGCTGTCCTTGTTCCACTGCATATTACTTGCTCCTTTGTCAAAAATTAGTTGCCTATATATGTGTACATTATAACTGGGTTTTCTATTTGATTCCGTCAGTCTCTGGGTCTCTTTTTGTTCCAGTACCAAACTGTTTCAATTATTATGGCTTTGAAGTATTGTTTGAGGTCTAGGAGTGTGATAGCTCCATTCTCCTTCTTTTTAGTCAGGAGAGCTTTGGCTATTTGAGGTTTTTTATGGCTCCATATGAATTTCATCAATATTTGCTCTATTTCTTTGAAGAATGTCATTGAGATTTTTATCATGATTGTGTTGAATCTAAAAATTGCTTTTGGTTGATGGGTTTTTAATAATGTAAATTCTTCCAATCCATGAGCAGGGGATGTCTTTCCATTTCATTTTGTCTTCTTCTATTTCTTTCAAAAATGTTTTATAATTTTCTTTGTATAAGTCACTCACCTCCTTGGTTAAAGTTTATTCCCCGGTATTTAATATTTTTGTTTCAATTGTAAGTGGGATGGTTTTCTTAATTTGTTCTTCTTCAAATTGATTGTTTGCATATGAAAAGGCTACTGACTTTTGTGTGTTGAGTTTGTATCCTGCTACTTTACTAAACTGGTTTATCATTTTAATTAATTTTTCTGTCCTCCAGGTGATTTTTAACAAGTTTGCAATCATATATCTAGAGGTGTGTGAGCAGGAGGAAGGCACAGGTGGGGCATGCAGAAGCACAATAAGGTCTTTTGGTTCATATTAAAAACTTCCATTTTTTGGAGCTACCAGCAATTCCACTCCTAGGAATCTACCCAAAGGACACAAAAACATTAATTCAAAAAGATACCTGCACCCCTATTTTATTGCAGCACTATTCACAATAGGTAAGATATGGAAACAATGCAAATGCCCAAAGATATATGACTGGATCAAGAAGATATGGTACATATACACCATGGAATATTACTCACCAATCAAAAAAGATAAACTCATGTCATTCCCAGCAATATGTATGGAACTGGAAATGATTATATTCAGTGAAATTAGCCAGAAAAAGAAAAATATCAGGTAGTTTCATTTATAGGAGAATGTAAGGGAACTAAATAGGGGAATAGGAAAAAATAATTACAATAAATTAAAAAACAAAATTAACAGGCAATTATGAATCAGACACATTCTGCAGGGAAGGGGAGTGAGAGGGATCAAAACAGAAGGAAAGAGCACAAGGGACTATGGTGAAGGTGCATGGGTAAATTGGTGGTGGGAATTTTACAGTGACTATACCTAAGAGGAGAAAGCATATATTGTACAAAAAGGAAGAATGATGTAAAATACATATAAAAAAAAATAACTAAATGAAATGAAATGTAAAAAATATTAAAAAATAAAAGAGAAATTAAAATGCCAATGAGAACTCTCTCTGCAGCATCATGTCCTCATCTGGTCAGAGTTCTTGCAATCAAATAAATTCTGGTTGATTTAAGCAGAAAAGAATATATAGGGTGATATTAGCTAGCTTGCAGACTTAACAAAAGATTAGGCAACAAGCTTATAATGAAAGGTTGGGAGCTTTCATGGTAAGAAAGGATGCTGAGAAACCAAGAACACAAGCAAGATCACTCTAAGAAACATATTCACAGACCTCTACTGCACAAACAGCTACTGGAGGACTATTCTTCCATGGGGATAACAGACTCCTCACCACACTGCTGCTGCCAAAACCATCCATGTCTTTTCATCTGTGCTTCATCCCTCAAAGTCCTAATGGGAACATTCACGTAACTCAGGTGTCACACAACTGTGTCACAGCTGCCAGGGAGGTCAGCTTCCCAGGAAGGCATCTGCACTACTGCAGGCAGGGGGTGGTGGGGTGTTGACTAAGGAAATAGCAGTAGAGATGGAGAGAAGTTAATAGACTAGGTGTATGTGCTGGAGAAAGAGCTAATAGGATGTGGTGCATGGGGGGAGATAAAGGTAGGCTTTACGATGACAATGATGCCTAAAAGAGGGATGTGAATGATCAGTGGGTGATGAGGCCATTTCCTGTGTTTGAGGTAAAATGGGGAAGGAGCCTGCTGAAGAAAGAGCTGGGCATCAAGAGTTCAGTCTTGAATGTGATTTAGAAGAGGGATGAATGCAAATTCTCTGTTGATGGAAAGTGGATCAGATTTCAAACCCATACCATACACATGCTTTGGACTACAGAGGAGAGAGTTTGTTTTAAGATGGAGAAGATGGAGGAAGAACAATATGGAAAAGATGGAGAGACAAGAATCTGGTCTAGGAGATGTGGTTACTTCATCTATGCATTACCCAACTATTTATCATCCTTTTGAGTCGGGACTTGTGGAAAATTAGGAAAAGTGCATTGTCGGAAGCTGGAAATTCATTTCAAGAGAGATCATCTGAGTGTCCCTATGGGGCTGAGCAGGATCAAGCAGGTGTCAGAAAGACTCCTCTTGCAGGATGAGCAGTGACTTTTCACACCACTGCTCTTTCTCTGCTCAGGAACAGAAGCTCCACTTTAAGAGCCCCGAGGACATGCATCTCGTCCAGGAATTCTCCATCGCAAACGAGAATTCAGAAATCCTGGTGACATTAACATATTCTAGAAAAAAATGCTTTGATGACCTTGACCTTGGTGAGACCAGATAAATCAAGACTAGTCCTTATAGTTCAGAAGGGGAGAAAGTCAGCATATATGTGTGTGTGAGTGTGTGTGTTGTGGGGTGTGTGTGTGTGTGTGTGTATGTGTGTGTGTGTGTATGTGTGTGAGAGAGAGAGAGAGAGAGAGAGAGAGATTTCCACAGTTTGCTAAGGAGAAGAAAGAGCCTACATAAGTTATTTGGCTTTTTCTAGCTCTGCAGCAGAGGCATGGCAAGAATGTGAATTACAGTTAGACTCTAAGCCCCACAGACCATCCCACCCACCATCATGTCTACAAACTGTCCTTGAGTAACAGATGTTGACATCCTCAAGGCCTTTGGCAGTTTCCTGTGATAGCTTGGACATAAGATGAAAGATTGAGAATTAGCAACATACAGGGTTGCATGAGTTAAGTCAACTTTGGCAACATCAAATGCTCCAACCTGAGTCACTCTGCTATTTTCAAGGCAGAAACAGGAAATTGAATAGCGAACCTTCAAGATTGGGAGAAACTTCACAATCTCTTGGTCCAGCACCAATAACACCAAGACCCAAACCCCCTAAACAGGACTTGCAGAGACAACCTGTGGGAATGCAGGGAAACTGCCTCCCGCGCTGCCACCCACAAGCACAGCGAGGAGGAAGGAGGGTGACTCGCTTCCCCCCTGGCGTGGGAGACTCCACAGCTGTGAACCAGCCAGCCCCGGGCAGGCCTGGGTTTGAGTCCTGCTCCTGCTCTTATTTGCTGGCTGATCCTGGGAAATTTACTTCACCCCTTGGAGCCTCAGTTTCCTCATGTAAAAAATGAGGATCAGATTGTCTAACTTGAGGGCAGTTGGAAAGCTTAAATACAGTGATCTTTGCACATGTCTCATTCGGTGGGCCTTAAAAAATAGTAGCACCTGCGTCTTCTCCTCATAGTAAAACAGTTTCTACCTCCTCTCAGTCTTAGTTCTGTCCCCTGGAGCTGACAGAAGAATTTTTTTTTTCCTATGGGAAAGTCCATAGATGCATAAAGACCACGACCCCAGCTTCTTTGCATCTCCCCTTAGGAAGCTGAACATCCCTGGCTCTGTCCATCTTTCCCCTGATATTGTGGTTGTCAAACTCTTCAAGATTTGGTCACTTTCCTCAGCAGATGCTCCGTCTGTGGCTGAGTCAGGGGGACTCTGAGACCACCCGTCATCATGGAGGATGTGGGACACCCTCCCCACTTCCTCTTCATGCAGATGAACCTCATGCTCCCAGCACCACACCTGAACTTCCCTCTCCCTGGCCCCTCCCTGCATCAGATGACCCTAAGCGTGGTCTGTCAGCTCCCAGGTCTCGTCCACATGAGGGATGTGGGTCCCTCCCCCTCCTAATGCAGGTCATATTTAAGACCATTAATCTGTTATTGGTTATGTTCCTTTTTCCTATTGAAATGTACAAATACTTTCAAGTGCTAGTTTTCCCTGATCTTAGCTTTTCATTCTGACATCCAAATCCAGAACAAAGTGGATCTGATCTATGAGATTCTAGAGGTTAATCCAGGATATGTCGGTAAATTTCTTCTCAGATACCAGAGCTCAAATAGATTAAGTAAGGGACATGGTGAGTTCTCCACCAGGATCTATTTAAGCTGAGGCTAGATTAAGCCATGTCTAAGCTAGTGTGGGAGAAATTACTGTTACTCAATGTGTATCTGCCTCTCTCTCTCCCTCCCACCCACTGCCCCATCATGACACATGGGCCTCTGTTCCCCATGCGCTAAGGAAAAGTTTAACCTAGATGATCTCTGAGATCCCTTCCAACCTGACTCCAGATTCCATAATAATTTGTCCATAGCTTGTGCTCAGAATCACAGGATCTCAGAAGGGGTAAGCTACTGGGGATTATGTGGACTAATAACCTGCACCGTTCAAATGCTTCTCTCTGTGTCCTCAGGAGACCTCAGACCTGCACCCGCACTGGATCCTCCAGCCCCGCCAGGTCAGTGGCAGCTGTGAGAGACACGGGAGCCAGGGGAAGATCTGGGCGCGCCATGTGGCCCTGGAGGGAGGGAAGAGACCCTGCAAGCACACAGGGGCAGGCCCTGGAGCACCACACCTGGAGAGTGGTGTGTGCCAGGGCAGGTCCCACCCATTCCTACTGTGCCCATGAAGTGGGGGTCATGGCACCCAGCCCAAGGAGAGAGCTCGGCTGGATAATGATATGAGGGAGAGCGGAGGTACCTTCATGGTGGCCAGATGCATCACGGGGGAGGGGCCAGGTGCAGAGGAAGTGATGGAGATGCTGGAGGTGGGGCCAGGGCAGGCTGCAGTGGGAACTGCTCTTGATTCACCGTGGCCTCACCTTCACCCCCAGGCACACCAAGGATGACACACTTCGTGGACCAGTATCGAGTGCAGCTGGTGGATCGAGTGACATCAGTGGACCCCATCCTGGACAGGCTGCTCGGGCAGGTGTTGAGTTATGAGCAGTATGAGACCATCAGGGCCGAGGCCATCCCGCAGGGCCAGATGAGGAAGCTGTTCAGTTTGCTCAGGTCCTGGAACCGGGCTGGCAAAGATCTCCTCTACCAGGCCCTGAAGGACACCCAGCCTTACCTAATTATGGATCTCTTGGAGAAGGGGCACAGTAGAGGACACTGAGGGGCTCTTGCCCAGCTTGGCAGGTGACTTCTGCACACCTGAGTCCTGGCTCTCCTGGTCACTCTTGAGTCTCGTTTTCTTCATCTCTAAATAAGAGGCATCTGAGATGCGTTCTCGCTGTAAAGTTATCGACTCTGGGGCCTCCCCGGTGGCGCAGCGGTTGAGCGCTGGGTTGCGAAGCTGCCCGCGGCCTCTGCGGTGCTGGTTTGATCCCCGGCTGCTCCCCGGCCACTGGAGGAGGGTCCCACATGGCGTGCAGACCTCTCCTGCCGCCCGCTGCTCCCCTCAGCAGTGTACTTCGGTCCTTCTGCCTGCTCTGCTCCCCGCTCTGGCTCTGGTGAATTCTCTCACCCTCCCGCGCTTCTGACGGCACCCAGTGCTTGTATAAACCAAACAAACAAACAAATAAATAAATAAAACATGCCTCTATAAAAAAAAAAAAGTTATCGACTCTGAAAACCCCTCTCTAGACTGTGATGTCCATGCCCAGGGGTACCACCCAGCTGCCCCCCTGGCTTTCACAGGCAGCTGCCCAGGTGGGTGACAGCATCTCAGGGAATGACCTGCTGGAGCTGAGCCTAGGCACCTGACAAGACATCCCCCAGAGCCTGTGGTGTGGACCCTCCCTGGGCAAAAGGGGTAGGGCCATGGCACTGGCTACTCTGGCTTAAACAATGAAATTGGGCACCTTTGGGGTGGGGAGTGTTGAATGGTTTTTATGGGTCCAAAATCCAGATTTTTTACTTGTATATGTTCAGCTTGTATTTTCTGTATGTTCTGTTGTCTGTGCTGTGACTGGAGTCTAGGTGGGTCCCAGGGACAGGAGAGGGTGAGGCAGAGCCACAGGGAATGGAGGCGAGGTCCCAGTTTAGATGTCTCCTCCTGTGCAGACATGTCCTGATCCGGGCTCAGGACCCGCTGTCCCAAGTCCCTGAGGGACATGTGTCCCCACACGAGCATCAGCACCTGGCCTTTTCCCTCCTGTTCCACTGCTGGTCTCTAAGTAATGTTCACAAATGTTCCAGGGCCCATCCATCCTCAATGACCCTCCATTCTGTTACAGATTCTGGTGGGCTTTTCTCACTTCCACCAATTGATGACCAACAAATTTTGAATAAACCAATAATAGGTTTTAAGCACAGAGTGCTTGGTGTGGATCACACAAGGGGAGAGAGGCAGCATTTCCTGGTCACACTCTCAGCCTGAGTTTGATGGGGGCCTGGATTATGAGGTTGATCACCAGAGTGGGCAGCAGGGAGCAGACCCTAGAGTTTCAGGCTGCGCATAGGAGGGCATGTGCAGACAGGTGACAAGCTTCTTCACACGTCACGTGATTCATGAGCATCTTAGTCTCCACCCAGGGGTGTGGTTTAGCCAGCTAGTGAGTCCTCAGTCACTCCTGGTTCTCTGCCATCCGTGTCTGGGGGAGCATCTTCTTTCAGCTGGTTCTGGAGCCATTGCCTGGAAACAGGAAGCTTCTGCAGGTGTAACTTCTGGGTGGTTTTGTGGAATTCCTAGTAGCTTGGCAGCTCTATAACAGGCAATTTAGGCAGCAAGGTCTAGGCCCAAGTGGCCCTGTGACAGTTGCACATACTATTGACACATTAGAAAAACTCTACTACTAATTTTGTCATATATTGAGAAAAATCGATCTGATCTTTCAGGGAGCCTACTCCTACAACTCCATGAGACAGTCTGCTTCCTTATATTTTCTTATTTTTGTTTTTCCTTGATATTTGCTACTAAGAATATTAAAAAAAAAAAAAAAAAAAGCAACTGGGCCTCCCTGATGATGAGGGGTGAAATCTCAGAGCTATCACTGCCACAGCGTGAGTCTGATGCCCGGCCAAGGAGCTAACACACAAATGGCACAGCAGACCTCTCCTGTTTCACCTGCCGGTCCCCTCAGCAGGAAGTAGACCCACCAGTCCTGCTCCCCACTTTATCTCTGTTAAATTCTCTCAACAGTGCCCCCCTCCAGCTCGATCCTACACCCCAGTTTTTCAGCATGAAAATAAACAAATTATTTTTTTTGAAAAGCTATAAAAAAATGTTTTTTATCTCTTTTGAAGTAAGACAGGAACCTAATCAAATTACTACCATTTACGGTGTCCTTACATCACTGCCAATTCCCACACATGCACTACACCAGCTCCTTGTTAGAAGAACATTTCCTTCCATTGACCAAGGTCCCCTTGTCCTAACTCAGGCACTGCCAGAGCCAGCCTCCCCCACCCTGCTACAGGGACCAGGGGGCATGTGCACAGCATGAAGCTGCGTTCAGGTTGGAGCAGCAGGGCAGAGGCCGGGTGCACAGGGGCGACCATGAGGAGTGTGGTGGGGGTGAGAATTCAGAGCGGGCACTGAGATGTGGGCAGTGAGGAGAGGGAGCCGGGGAGGCGCTGAGCTCCAAGAGAAAGACAAGGACAGACGGTGGGACCAGGAGGAGAAGGCCTCTGTTAGGAAAAAGGGGGGGGGGGATGAAGGGACATCCCAGGTATTGATGGGTCAGTCAAAGGCAGGGAATGTCAATGGGAAGGGCTCACACAGCCTGCATGTGAGGGGCTGAGCCCTGGGAGTTCCCATGCCCTGTGTTCCGGAGGCCCCTCCCGACCTTCACAACAGGCCCCCCGGCCCCTGGGAAGGCTGGTCTGACAGGGCAGGTCCCTCTTTGCTCACGCTCTTCATCCTCCCTCGGGGGCAGCTGCAGTGCAGAGGGAGCTCAGGGCTGGTCAGTGTGCAGGGCTGGTCTTGCTCCCACAGGACAGTGTCCAACCACCCGTGCCATCGGAGCACACACCCTGCACCCCCGAGAACCCCTGGGTTCTGACTGGAGGAGCACCACCTCCCTCTGTTAATTCTTCCCCCGGTACAATTAGTTACTGAGGGACCAGCTAGTAGCATCCCTGCCCCCACCCCACAGGCACAACCAGTGTCTAAGTTCCACTGCTTCCACTCCCAGACATACAGACACACACACACACACACACACATACACACGTGCACCCTTGCACCTGGTACAGCACTGATTTACCAAAATTCCTAGGTCACAAAACTCTTTAAAAAGCTGTGCAATTCTCCCCCACCCCCAGTCTTCCCTCACGCTCATGTTCCATAAGGGTGGTCCTCCCCTCGGGGCCTTGCAGATCCCTGTCCACCTGAACTGTGTTAAATTAAAGTCATCTCTGGAGTTCAGCCTCCAGACTGTGCAAAGACCTGGTTAGTAGCTGCCTCGGTTCCCAAACACAGTCCTTCTGCAGACCCCAGTCAGGACTCCACGGGATGACACCCATGCCCTGAGCCCCAGGATGTCTCAGCAGAGACCCCTCACCATCCAGGACATGTCTGGGTGCAGCCTCCTGGCAGTGCAGCACCCCCGCCCGGGTGTTGGCTTAGAAGCTGCAGCAAAGTCCCAGGGAGGAAAAAAACACAAAGCCTTGTTTTCTGAATCCCTAGAGGGGAGAACAGCACCCCAAAAATGCCACTTACAGCATCTTCCACTCAGGTAGGAGCCACAGGGTATCGTTCACCAGCTGCAGCAGAGCCAGACTCAGCAGCTCCTCCTGGGAGCACTGCGGTTTCTCAGAACTCAGGAAAAGCCCTGGACTCCTCAGGGGCCCTCTCTGGAATGCAGAGGGCCCAGGTCTAGCTCATTCCAGAGTGGGCTGTGGCCAGACATCCTGTAAGGTGGACCAATGCTAAGAATCATACATAAGTGAAGCCATTTTAATATAGTGCTGTTACAGGAAGCATCGCTGTGACCACGGCACAGGAGCCATCCTCCCCGCCCCCACACTCAGGCAACCCACACCGCAGCAGCCTGGGGTCCCACACCCGGTGGGCCATGAACCAGACATCCTCAGATGGAGGACGGAAGAGGGAACAAACGCTGGTGGGCGTCAGCAAGCTGACCCAGAGTAGCACAACTAGTGATCACTCATAGTCACTAACTCTTTGCACTGACAGCTGGGCTGCTCTAAAGAGTAAGACAGGAGTGGGTCATCAGGAGTGGGTCCTTGAGGGGTCCATGGGTTGGGGGGATATTGGGTTCAGTTCACCTGCAGGAACCTGGGGTGACCTCACAGTCAGCCACGCCCAGCTTGTAAGGCAGCGACACCTGCTATAATCAGGGATCTGATGTCCCAGCCCAGCTGGAGCCCCAACAACTGGTCCTTTGGTCCACACAGCAGATGGGGTGTACAGACCAGCACCCACTGCAGAGCCCATGGGGGTGACCCCTGGCCACAATGCGGCATTATCTCAAAATAGATTAAGGTGATTCAAACAGTCCCGTGTCTTGTGTGTCTCTAAATAATACCTGAGGGAACCACCAAAGGAGCCGAGAGTCCTCCCTGATCAAGGGATTGTCACATTGACTACACTGTCCGCCTGTTGGGAGTGACGGCTCTAAACACTCCTGTTCTGTGCGAGTGCTCTGTCTGCCGGCTCACAGAGGCAGGAAGTGGAGGTGGCCTAGGGACATGCTGATGTGAAAGGGACAGGGAGATGCAGGAACCTGCCATGGGGAGGTGCCTTCTGCAGACTCTGCACATTTCAAGGTGATGAGGAGCCCGGACTGAGCAATGGTCCTGAGAGTGGGTGTCCCAGAGCTTGTACAAAAAAGAGATGCTCCCCATTATGCCCACTGCCCTCCTGGAGGTTCCTGGCCTTGGGGGCCGTTTTAACTGCAGATGCGCCTCGGGCGCTGACATCAGAGATCCCCGCATCCCAGCAGAGCTCGCAGATCTAAGTCATTTCCACCAAGTCACTCCCTGAGCCACTACTGGCTCCTTTGTTTTGGTGGCTCATAAATTACACTTCTTATACTGGTATCTGAGACAAGCAGCAGAAAATTACTCTCTCCAGAACCCGTTTGCCAAACTGTGGTCTCTGCATTCAGTTCACTCCCCTGACTTCTCCTTTTGTTCCTGATGTAACCTCCTCTCTCCCTGGGCCGGCCTGTATTATGCGAGGCTCTGAGAGAGCGAGAAGCAATAAAGAAGAACCAAGAACTGCCTCCTTTATCTATCCAAATGTGAGTAACAACTGCAAGTAAAAAATCAGTGGAAAGAGGGACCCTCCTTCTCATACTCCTCAGAGAGTATTAATTCCAGGGGGCTGAGCCTGGAGTCAGATGTTTAT